GAACCTATCAGTTCTGGCTAACCCTACAGACACCTGAACCTATCAGGTTGGTACTGACTGACACACAGTAGTACCCTGTCTGACACACAGACTCCCACTCAAGCTTCTTCTCTCAGCTCTTCTCCAGCTTCTCTAGCTTCTCCACACAAACTCCACATATATATACAGTACAGCCCCTCCTCCTGATGTCCCGCCTTCCACTCCCCATAGGATGGAACTTTCCCTCCAACCCATGACAGACAGGCAACATCAGTGCTGTATGTAACAGTGATGTTGAAAGGTCTGCCTTGGATTTGTATTTAAATCATTCTACCATTTTTGAGATTGTATCCCAGTACAGCTTTTCCCACTCTTTTGTTGACTATGAGGTCTAGTCCATTTCTTTTACGGGATTCTTGCCCACAATAGTAGATATGATAATCATCTGAATTGAATTCTCCCATTCCCGTCCATTTTAGTTCAAGGACGCATAGGATGTCAATGTTGATTCTTGCCATCTCATGTTTGACTACATCCAGCTTACCAAGGTTCTACATTCCAGGTTCCTATGCAGTATTCGTCTTCGCAGCATTGGACTTTCCTTTCACTTCAAGGCATGTCCGAAGTTGAGTGTCCTTTTGGCTTTGGCCCAACCACTTCATTAGCTCTGGAGCTACTTGTACTTCTCCTCCACTCTTCCTCGATAGCATGTTGAATGCCTTCCCACCTGAGGGGATCACCTTCCAGCGTCATATCTTTTAGCCTTTTGTTTCTGTTCATGGAGTTTTCTTGGCAAAGATATTGGAGTGGCTTGCCAGTTCCTGCTCCAGGTGGATTGCGTTTAGTCAGAACTCTCCACTATGACCTGTCCATCTTAGGTGTCCCTGCATGGCAGAGTCCATAGCTTCTCTGAATAACTAAACCCCCTTCACCACGACAAGGCAGCAATCCGTGAAGGGGCGCATCAGAATAGATCTTTCATATAAAGCTGTGTTTTTTCCATCTTTGTACTCACATCACTCATAACGAAAGCTTTAATAAAGTTTTATTAAGAATTACCTATTCTGTACCATGCTCAGAAATTGCAATAAAAGAGCAAGTAAAGAAAAAACAGATGGCTATTATTGTTTTACATTCAGTTTCTAGACAGTCATGAAGAACAGTTTAAGTTTTGTATAACAGGAGTAACCAAGCCAATGAAAATAACACTTGGCTGAAGTTCACTCAACTCCTGAAGCTCTGCAAAATCTCTTTGATATCTGTCTACATATTGAGGGGAAAGTAGTGTTTAATTTGGTGCATCTGTCTTATAGATGAATCAATAAAAAGTCTCATGTTAAAGATTAAGGGTTGTAACGTGTCAGTAGTCAGAACTTCAGTAGGCCCATTGGATCAGCACAAGTGCTGAATCACCATTCAACAGTAGATATATTCTGACTGATATAACTGGATTCGGGCCCAACACTTATAATGGCATACGATTCTTGGGACTATGGTCCAAATCACCAAAAGCATGGAACATCGCACTGACTTGTCAGGTATTCTGGCACAAGGCTATGGGGGGAGGGAGAGGATGGCAAATGAAATGCAATACAGAATACAACCACTAGGTTCAAACTTCAATGCATGCAAAATAAACACAGTGACTATTTCAAATGCACTGCTGATGACAAATGTCTTGACACAGAGGTAAACTCATTGACACAAGTAGTATAATAAACCCCTGTTATCAGAATTTGTAGACTTTATTTAACATTGCATTTTGCTTTTGTTTCACCTGACTGCTTACCACTAATGGGATTTAAAAAAATCTTTTTTAAAAAAAAATTAGGATTATGGTTTCAAAGAATTATCCAGTTTGCATGTCCAGTGTTCACTACTCAGGAAGTTGTAGTCCAAACGACCAACTTAACCTGTCTCTGTTATTTATAATCCATGCCCCTCTACACCATCCCTGGCAATCCTTACCAGGTGGTTCCTGTCAGCTTAGAGAAAATATCTAGCATCTGATGAAATGTAGTCTGGAGTGTAATGGATGTGCTAGTCTTTAAGGGTCTAGCTTCTGGACTGGCTTTGGTAAGTAGCACCACTATCCACGTCAGTCACGTGGAGTATTAGATAGTGAATTATTAATCCCATTTCTGTAAATACCGTGGTGAAATCTTGAGGAACCAAATCATTATTAGACTTCCACATGATGCTGGGCAGCAGTAATATCAGTACTATCCAGACACTAAGGAAAAGGATGCTGGCTTCAGTGTGGAATATAGCGGGCATGACGGTATATATTATCATTGGCTGTAGCACTGAGATGTGGAAAGAAAATGTAAACCACCATATTATATCTTTCCAAGAACGTTTGTCATCATTCAGAACAGTCACGAGAAAAGAGAGGAACAAGAAATAGAAACTGCACATTTAACAACAATCGAGATTTCTGGGATAGCAAAAGAAACACTTCAAATCCAGTTTAAGTAACCAGACATACCACCTTTTTGAGATATGTGAAAACTGGATTTGTAAAAAATTATCTTCTTCTGAGGGCAATCTGGGACCACATTGCTTGCCCAAAGATACAGAGATTGGCTTTTCTCTTGGGAATATAACACCCAACCTTTGGCTCCATAGCCTGATACTTAACTCACTGAGCTATTGAGCAAGTGGTAGGAAATAACCTTACCTGAAACCCCTAACAGGCACTGCCAGTCTGAGTTCACAACAACACTGCTGAGGTTGCACGATCAGCTTTGGAAGGGTATTTTAGGACAAACTTCTGACAGGGTTGCTGGCTAACATTCTCTAACTCCCACTTTCTTCAGGTCACATGGCAGTTCCTGTCTGGTTCAATGGTTTGTACTGCTCTAATTAATTTCTTGCATAAATCAATAAAACCAACCTCTTTAAAAAAGAGTTGATAATACTGATCTGATTAGGCAGCTTCCTACATTCCCAAAGAAAGGACTGAAAACGTTTTCTCTGGATATTTTGTGGAGTTAATGTATCAAAAGTCTGAACTATTATTCATATGGAATACATCATTTATGAGGGCTAATGAAAGAGAAATTTGGAAATAGTCCTTTTCATCAAATATATAGTCTATTAGGGTAAGTTTTATTTGAGTTACAGATGTGTAAATGAAAAATCCAAATTAAATATCACTTGTGAAAACGATATTAGGATCTTGACTCCATCACACATGTTCCCACCTCAACTCTACCTCCATATGGTAAACTATGCTCATTATATACACATAAATTTTATTATGTATTTTGCTATTTTTAAATATGCAACTACAAATGGCTTTTCCACATCAAAAGAAGACCATTAATATTTGATAACAGGAATTATTTACCTGAACACTACTGTTCACTTCACAACATCATTTTACTGTTCACTGCATATGTCATTATTTTACTATTCATTTCATAGGTGTATTTTGCAAGCAGATAAAAAAATGTAGAATACCTTTGTTTTGAATTTACCTTTATTTCTGCCACTTTGGACTTCTTCTGCCAGTCCCAGACAGTCAGCATATGCTCATTAGAGTCATCAATCACACACAAATGCGTACCCGAATCCTGATGGGAGCAAGCAACAGAATAAGTTTAGGTCATTATACTGTGCGACAGCACACAAGAGACAAGTGCAACAACAAAAATCTCATAAAATCATGCAGAGCAGAAGAAATTTTCTTTTCTAGCTTTGTTAGGGTATTTTGTCTAACAAAATATATCCCAAGTATAAGATTTGCCCAAAATTCAGGAATGTTTCTTTTTATTTTTTGAGGAGAACTCTCAGAAGTCTCCATTCGCACAACCAATGGCTAGGAGATTCTGGATTTCCCAAGGTCAAGATTAACTGTAACAGATGGACATTCAATCAGCGAACACAAATTGGATAATTTTCTATTAATTGCACTTGTTGGACAAATGCTAGCACCATCACTAATTCCTGGGCATCTAAAGTACTGCACCTTCCCTTATAAGCCTCCCCAGGAAGTAAGATTTTCAGAAAAGGCTCTTCTCTCAGTCTCACCACTTTCACAGGCATATATGGTGAGCATTTAAGAGAAAGCCTTTTCACAGGCTGCTTCTAGGCTATGGAAACTCCTTCCACCAGAGCCTATACTCTCCCTTTCCCCTCCTTGTTTTCTTCCACTGGCAGATAAAGATTTTTCTTTAGGCCGCAGACTGTGCTACAGAGAAAGGAGTTTTTAACAGGGAAGTTGCATTTTAAATTTTAAAAACTGTTCTCTTGATATGTGTAGCTACTTGGGTTATTTTTCTTTGTTTTGCTAGCTGCTGATGCTGCTATTTTTACATCATTTTAAATTGGTATTTTAATGGTCTTATAATATTATATGTATAACTGCATTTTTAATATTGCAATTTATATATCTATTTTTCCTCCTCCCCTGTCCACCATTTCTTATGTAGCCTTTGGTCCCTGAAGTAGGAATGTAAGTGAAATAAGTATTAAATATGGATTATGAAAGTTCTATCAGGCATGAGATTTTGGGAATCCACAGCCTCCGGAAATCTGCAGGAATTCCCCCACCCTGACTTCTAGGGATTAAATCAAGAAATCAAAGTCCTGCCAAGTATTTTCAAGTTCTCAAGCTTATGAATTCAGACTCAGGAAGACATTTTTATCCTGGGAAGATATCAGAGAAATGGGTGGGCAGGACTATGCTCTGTGGGAGTTGCAAGGGATATAGGTGTAGCAGTCTCTTCCCACTGCTTGCTCATGAATCCTGTCAAAAACACAAGTAGACCCATACAACCCCATGTCTTTTAGTAATGGATTCTTGAGTGCTCTTGCCTGTAAACAGGATGGGAGAAGGTGGCAAGTTTTATTTTTGTAGGCCTTGGGAAGATTTTAAGCAATTTTTGTGTGTACTTTTTTTGGTAAAGCATGCAATAACTGTTCCATGAACCAGTAAAGGCAGTAACATTGGGTGAGCTGTTTCTTACTTCATTACCATCAATCAGCCTGTTCTTCTGAGCTTGCTTTCTATTTGAGTTTGTAAACTTTGGGAAAAAAACATGATGAGGAAAAATGTTTGGTGTCCCAGTCTCATGCTAGGAATAAAATATGTTGCAGGAGTTCAAGAATCTTCAGAATCTATGCGAGCACAGCCTGTCTTGGGGAGTTTAGATATATATATGTGGTGGCGCTGTGGATTAAACTGCAGAAGCCTCTGTGCTACAAGGTCGGAAGACCAGCAGTCGTAAGATTGAATCCATGCGATGGAGTGAGCTCCTGTTGCTTGTGCCAGCTCCCGCCAAACCAGCAGTTTGAAAGCATGTAAAAATGCAAGTAGATAAATAGGTACCACCACGGTGGGAAGGTAAAGGTGTTCCGTGTCTAGTCTTACTGGCCACGTGACCACGGAAACTGTGTACAGACAAACGCTGGCTCTACGGCTTGGAAACACCGAGCACCACCCCCTAGAGTTGGACATGACTGGACTAAATGTCAAGGGGAACCTTTACCTTTACTATATACATATAGATGAAAGTGGAATCGAAATAGTGGTCTATCAAAAAATCAATTTCATTAGCATAGTTTTGTGTGCTCAGTAAGAGATGTTTTCCTCCATAGGAGGACCAGAACACATAGCATGGCTGGGCGACACGGAGGTTCCCTTTTACTTGCCAAAAGATGCACTTTTGCAAAAAGTGAGAACTAATTGATCTGCAAACCCATACAAGTACTTAAACCTTTCTTGATTAAGGCTATATAGCAGAGGTGGATGACTGTGGCCTTCCAGATGCTTTTTGGTCTCATCAGCCCTAGGCAGCATAACCAATGGTGACACATTCTGAGACCTACAGTCCAGAAACATCTGTAGGGCTACAGTTTCCTACTGTCAGTTGGATGGCTAACTAGCAAAAGACACACCATCATTTTGGCGCTAACTTTAGCCTGGCATATAATAGGCTGTAATAATAAAAGACAGAAACAACAAGAACAAAAAGATGTGCAAGTTTTCCTTACTGCTTTGGAAAAATCCAGACAGCCCACTCCACGCTCGAAAGTCCCAAGTCCAATAACTTGCAGAGTCATCAGGCTCACTGAGTCCCAGACTCTAACATGGGGCTGCAAAGGCTACATGAAAAAACAATTTGATAGAAATGGGTTACTGAAGGACTAAAATGTTTGATGCATGCAAAATTCATTATATTAAACAGCATGATTGCTGTTTAAACACCATCAGTGACTGAACTGTGTGCAAATACAGACCAAAGTGAAGATCTCAGAATGATAAAGATAACTAAACATTTTGCAGATTTTCAGGTTTCAAAATATTCTGGCAGGACTTCAGAGTGAAATCTTAAATATGTCTACTTATAACATTAAAAGCCTTCACTTTGTCAAGGGGATTACTTCCACCTCGGTGGACAAAGAACTGCAGTCGTCACAGGCTATTGGTTATAACTTAATGTCCTGTAGGAACATATTTTTAAAACTGAGCTATAGCAGACCTCTTTAAGGAAAAAGAAAAGGGAAAAAAAGAAAAAAAAAAGGGGGAAGAAAAGGCTGTTTGGTGTGAATAAAAGAAACAGAATCATGTGGCACTTTAAAAAGACTAATTTTGTATTGTATGAATTTTGCTAAAAACACAGCCCACTTCCTGAGACATACATCCCAAAAGCATGAACTGTAATAAATCCATTCATCTCAATGCTACATAACTCATAGTTTGTTGAAACGGGCCAACATGTCTATCCTTGTGGGAATAGATATTAGCAAGCAAAGAGTAGACTCTGTAGTTGAGTCCTTTGAAAGATGCCCATTCTATAGGGATTCCCTGTGCTCTAATTCCTACTATATAGCTGTCCCCCAAACATTCTTCTGAGGGTGCCATACAGGGATGGAGAACCTATAACTTTCCAAACATTGTTGGATTGTAACTCCCACTCGACTTAGCCAGCATAGTCAAAGGTGAAGGATCACTGCAGAAAGCAGGAGCATATATTGCAATCCTTATATAGCCACTGCCATGTGATTAATATAGTGTAGGGATACAAAAGCCATGAACAAGCCAATAAACCATGAAATTGGCAATAGAAACTAATACAACATGAAAGCATCTGTAAAATTATTTTTCAGCTGGTAGCCATCTTAATATGTTACAGTAAATGGAGAATCTGAGTTGCAGCAGGCTGATGACTATTTGACACAAGTTTTTGTGAATTGTAGCCTACTTCTTCAGATGCGAGTAACAAATGAAGATGCAATGATTCTTCAGCTGAAAGGAAGCTGTGAGCTGATATAAACTTACTTCTTTCTAGTGAATTAGCTTATATAAGGCCATACTGCACAGTGCCAGTAGACTAAGTCTCTAACTTGCCATAGAAAACCATTGCTATTTTTTAAAAAAAATCTCACCGTAAAGCCAGACTGCCCTACTGCCTTTGAAGAAATGAATTTATGACTTATGTACTGACCCTAGACCAGTTCCAACAGCTATACACAAGCTTGTTTATAAGTATTAGCACATCGGTGTGTTATCATGTGATCCCCCCCCTTATGGCCAAAATCTTTTGACCTTACTTAAGTTAGAGAATGAGGTCAGGTTTCTTTTGTCTTGAACAGCCACAGTTCCAGTAAGAGTAATTTTATCTTGATGGTGGTGGTGAGGGTGGAACCTGACAAAATAAAGAGTCATGGGTCCCTCTGAAGATCACTGTGAGAAGAAGGCAATACATACCACAAGAAAAGAGGACATACATACACACGATAAGCAGTAGAAGGAAGAAAAACAATTACTGAGATAGTATTTCTTAAACTTACTCTTCCATCTTTGTCCACACCAGCTAATTGTCCGGTGGCAATCCTGATTTTGTCTGGATGAACGGCAAGGCTAAAAGAAATGATGTCAACATTGAAGTCAATTGTTAAGAACAACATTTACAGTATCAATTTGCTTTTATAACTTCCACTTTAACTTAACTAGCAGCCTGGACAGGGAGACTTTACTGGCTGCATTAATAGCAGACATGTTCACTGTTAATGACTCTCCTGATTGGCATAAAGGCACTTTGATTTCAAGCATCATAAAGTACTGATGTTCCCTGCACCAATATTTTCTGAAGTGAGTCTATATGACCAGAGATTGACCTAGGAATGGGGGAAATGAAACATGGGAAACACAGTTCTCTTCTTTACTAAACCTGTTGGAGGAGGGAAAAGTATTATGTACCTTGCTTGAAGCAAAAAGCTAAACTTCATTTACCTACTCCTCACATTTCTATGCAGCCTGTCTTCCAATAAGCTCAAAGTGTCCTAAGTGTCTTTTCTCCAACCCACTTTATCCTCACAACAACCTAGTGAGGTAGATTAGAGAGAGTGTGACTCAGACTCAAAGTAGCCATGTTAGATTCATGGTCAATTTGAATGCAAATCTTTCAAGACCTAATTCAACACCCCACCCACTGCACCACTATCAGAGTGGAACAGTCTTCTGCAATAGGGTATTTCTAGAGTCCAGGTTCAGGGAAAGTGGCTCTGCTCTTTCTTCTTACTAGGTCATGTTGTTTCAATCTGGATTGAAAACTGATGCTACAGTATTTCCATTTCTGACACATCATGTTCTATTCTTTTCTTGAAATCATGGAGGATTGGTGAAGTGCCAGATGATTGGAGGAGGGGTAATGTTGTCCCTATTTTCAAAAAGGACAGAAGGGAGGAACTGGAGGACTACAGATCTATTATAGTGACATCTATCTCAAGGAAAATTCTAGAGCAGATTGTAAAGTGGCCATTCTGCAAACACCTTGAAAACAATGTAGTAAAAACCAGAAGCCAACACAAACTTGTCAAGAATAAATCTTTCCAGAAAAATCTTGTCTCATTTTGATTGGGTAGCCTGCCAGGTGGATGGTGGGAATGCTGTAGACATAATATATCTTGACTTCAGCAAAGCCTTTGACAAAGTGTCCTATGATATTCTGATTAGCAAGCTAACTAGGTGTGGACTAAAACAACCTCAGTTGTTTACACAATCATAGTCAGATGCTTATCAATGGCTCCTTCTCAAACTTGGAGGGGGTAACAAGTGGGGTACCACAAGGTTCAATTCTGAGCCTAGAGCTCTTCAGCATTTTCATTAATGACTTGAATGAGGAGGTACAAGAAATGCTTATCAAATGGAGGAATAGCTAATGCCCTTGAAAAGAGAAACAAAATTCAAGAAGATCTTTGATAGGCTTGTGGACTGGGCTGAAAACAACAGAAAGAAATTTAACAGATATAAGTGCAAAGTTCAATACTTAGGAGGGAAAAACAAATGCACAATTATATGGGAGATACTTGGCTTCGTAATACTAAAAGTGAGAAGGTTTTTGGAATTGTTGTAGATCACAAGCTGAATATGAGCCAAGAGTTTAATATGGCCGCAAAAAAGGTCAATACTATTTTAGGCTACATTAATAGAAGTATAGTCCCCAAATCCTGTGAAGGATTATCCTCTATTCGGCAATGGTTATGACTCATCTTGAGTATTGTGTCCAGTTCTAGATACTGCGCTTTAAGAAGGATGCAGACAAACTATAACTAGTTCAGAGGGCAACAAGGATGACCAGGAGTCTTGAAACAAATGAGGAGGAAAGACTGAAAGAACTGTGCATGTTTAGCTTGAGAAAAGACTGAGGAGAGATATGACAGCATTTTTGAAATATTTGAAATATCATCATACAGAGGAGGGGCAGGTGCTGTTCTCGATCATCCTGGAATGCAGGACATGCAACAATGTGTTCAAGTTACATGAAAACAGATTTCAAGAAAAATTTCTTAACTATTAGAACAGTACAACAATGGAACCAATTACCTCAGGAGGTGGTGAGTGCTCCAATGCTACAGGCATTCAAGAGAAAATTAGATAACCATTTGTCAATTTTTTTTAATTTGGATTCCTGCATTGAGCAGGGGGGGGGGAAGTGTTGGACTCAATGGCTTATAGGCCCCTTCCAACTCTATTATTTTATGATTCTATGGCTATACATACCTAGAAAAAATCAGAGCTGGAGAGTACACGGGAAAAATGCCAAGAAAATATCATTAGTTATAACACTACACCTCAACAAAACAACATCTAAAACACAGATGCATTATGGAAGCATGCACCAACCATTTTACACAGTCTGTATGTCCCAAGTAGTGGCGCTGAGTCCGTTCTTCATAATTAAAGAGTACTACTACTGATGCTATGAAATAAACAATTTCTCCAGTAGGAAGGAGGTAAACATTGGCTCGGCAGTCCCTTCCACGATAACCATATCTTTTTTTTTTTTAAGTTAAGGCTTCTTTTAAACAAAATGAGTATTAATGAAAACAATACATCTGATAATGTGAGTATTAATTAAAGCAATGTATTCATGAAGGCTTTCATGGCCGGGATCTAATGGTTGTTGTGGGTTTTTCGGGCTCTTTGGCCGTGTTCTGAAGCACTGAGATCTATGATGACCAGAGCACAGAGTGCTGTCCTCTGAAGATGCCGGCCACAGAGACTGGCGAAACGTTAGGAAGAACAACCTTCAGAACACGGCCAAAGAGCCCGAAAAACCCACAACAACCATTAATTAAAGCAACCAATGTGACAAACAATTAATTGTGGAAGGCTGCAGTAACATGAGAGGACACTTCCTTCACACTATGAGTCTGGATCTCTGAATTTACAAATAAACATACATATGCTCACAGACGGGGACTCTTAGCTTTCTGCTTTTCTTTTAATTTTTTAAGCAAGTGCCACCTTAATCTGAAGCACAAAGTGTGACAACTAGGTAGTTTTTTCAGTGGTGTTTGCTTTATGGAATGCACTCTCTAAAAAGTATACCTGTTCCCCCACATTGATGTATTTTCAGTACTTGTAAAGACTTTACTAAACTTCCAACTTTTCCATATGCTTTTCATATTCTCTCATTCTGGATATGGTCACATCAGATCGATACCATATTTTTTGCTTATGCCCTTCATCTTGTGCTATTTCTTTTAACTCTAATGAGTTGGTTTTAGCTCTCTGTGGCAAAATCCAGTTTGTTGGGATTTCTATCCCCTCCTTCACTGTAGTCTTCTTAGCAGGAGGCTTTCTGGGGTGCTGAAGGAGCAATGGCAGTGGGGAGGGAAGACAGGGGCCTTCTCTAGTGAGGTTGGATCTTGTTCTTTCATGAACAAAAGTTCAATACTAGATACAGACTCATGTGCCTAATTGAATTTGAATAACAGCTGATAATTGATTTTATTATTTGCTCACTTTTGGCTTTTACTCTGGCATTAAAAAACCCATATATGTAACTTAGATTTTTAATATATATATATTTTGAATTCTTTTACACGGTTACCCAGAGAACTAGATAACAGGATTGTTAATAACTATGAGTATGTAAATCAGCATTCCAACAAGTAACAGCAGCCTAGAAAACCCTCCTGCTATAAGAGAAAATGTACCCATGAAGCCAGGGATGAGGAGAGTACACAGAAGAATGAAGCATAAAAAGCATGTCAGTTTGTAAACCTAAAATGTGAAGTTTTCATTAGGTAATAATAGAAGTCACTGCACTACCTTAACTGATTTTGCAGCCCCAGGATTGCATCAGACAGCAGGCCTTCCTATTGCTGCATTCCAGGGAGGAAGTGTATCAGTTCCATTTGGCCTTTTAAAAGAAGTGTGTGAAAATTCCGAAAGCTCCTTGCAAGGTGGCAAGACACCACTAAGCAAATCCAGAATCTTGGAAACCTCTTTCAGGATTCCAGCCACAGAACAGACACCTTTAAACTTGAGTTTGGAATCAGATATTCTTTGCATCACAGAAACATGAAAAAGAGGCCCAGTGGAGGAGGAGGAATGATTAGGTGTTCAGGAACTAATTTATTCCTTTTTCCCTCGTTTTGCACATGTAAATCCTAACCACCCCCACTGCCTTTTATTTTTGAAGCTCATCATGATTGCAGCAGAATGTCTCCTCTGGCATTTTTATTAACCACATGGAACCTTTAGGCAGTTTACAATCAGTGTCAGTTCTTAAAACAAAATGCAAAGAAAAAATAGCAGGTGACATGAAGGAGGAAAGAATTCACAAGCCTTCAGATTATTCCTGATTTAACCATGATTAAATAGGTGCCTGTCTATTTCACAGAATTATTTTAGATCAAATCATACCTTTAATTTCAAATTTGGTAAGGAGACTAGACAGTGCTGTACTTCCACTGGGCTTAGTAAATTTTATTTCACTAACATAATTTTATGTGGAGGAATATTTTGATTTCTATAGAAATATTTCTATAATGTCTAACAGAATAACATGACTGTTCTTCAAAAGCACAGAAATAAAAGCAATGATTATAAAAACCCATTTGGGTTAAAAAAATTCAGAATATCAGTCAAGGAATGTATCTGGCATCCAGACTATACAAGCTATGCATGAACTAAGAAGTGATAAAAGAACTATTTATACCCTGAAATGGGATGTTAAACCAATTCACCAAAAATGAATATTATACATCCCAATAGGAAGGGTTCACATTTACAGGTAAAACCATCAAGGACTGTGGACACTCACCTGCTTAGACTGTTATTCTCCATGCACAAGAGGATAACAGAGCTTCAGATGCAGAAGGAGGAGCTACTGTAATCCCCTTCAAGGCATGTTGATTCAATACACTTTTCAAATGCCTGAATAGGACTTAGGGTTTTATCTTATAGCACAGTTTGGCAACAAACAGAAAAAAACTGGATCCTAGCTTATGATCCTGAATAGCTAATACAGATGGGCACAAACTACAAGTTCACTAGTTTGTGCCAGTTTGTTTTTTGGCTTACCAGATGTTTGACCCTTCCCAGCCTTGCCTCCTTTGATGGGCACCCACTAGAGGCAGCACCCCGGCTTCCCTGCCCCGCTTCCTCTGGGTGCTGCCTCTGAGTGGGCACTCACTCGCCAGATGAGGCGAGGCTGGGAATCACCAAACACATGTTTGACTGAAAAATGAACCGGCACAAACCACCGAACCGATAATTCACATCTATATCTAGCTGATTCAGAGAACGAGAAACAGGTTTTGATTTTAATTTGCCTGGCAGTTTTCTGAGCAGCTGAGAAGCCTTACATGGTTGTGTGTGTGTCTACAAGTGTTTATATACATGTTTGCTATAAATAAAGATTTAAAAGAGCCACCAAACATCTATATCTAGCTGATTCAGAGAACGAGAAACAGGTTTTGATTTTAATTTGCCTGGCAGTTTTCTGAGCAGCTGAGAAGCCTTACATGGTTGTGTGTGTGTCTACAAGTGTTTATATAAATGTTTGCTATAAATAAAGATTTAAAATAGCCACCAAACACTGGCAATACAGTGGTGCCTCGCACAGCGAGGTTAACCCATTCCGGATTAACCCTCGCTGTGTGAAAACATCGCTGAGTGGGACAGAAAAGCCCATTGGAACGCATTAAACAGTGTTTAATGCGTTCCAAAAGGCTCCTTTACTCACCGTTCAGCGATGTTCCTCTATGGCCGGCAGCTATTTTCGCGCCCTCCCCTCACTTAACGAGGGCACGAAAATGCTGTGCGCGCCCATTTTGCCGCTTCCGGAGGCCATTTTGTAGCCGCGGAACAGCTGATCGGCGGGTCGCAAAGCGAAGGTCGGTAAGCGAACCGCTTACTGCCCTTCGCTCTGCGATTTTCGGCCATAGGGGCCATCGGTATGCGATCGCATTTGCGATCGCGAAAACATCCTCGTAGAGTGAATTCATCGCTCTACGGGGCGCTCATTGTGCGAGGCACCACTGTATGGGGAAAATATGGGGAAGTAAAAAGAAAAAGGGAAAGGAAAGGCCACAATTCCCATCCTGGTCTTGATAATCCAACATTTCCCTCACCCCAGGTGCAAATTTTTGCTCACATGTGGGATCTATTCTCTTCAAATTTGTCATTTCTTTAGCTAGCAGAATGACGAAGGAATGGCACAGTGCTACCTGTTTCTGAGTAAATGGTGGGAGGGGGAAAGAGAGAGGAAGAAGAGGACCAGGAGGAGAACAAAATCGGTAAGATTCTGTAGATGGCTTGTACATGTGGCTTTGGCATCACTGATTGTTTGCTTGTGGCAACAAATGTTCTCTGTGAGGGAATGCAAACCAAGAGGGAGAAGATTCCATATATCTGTGTTAATCCAATCAAGTGGGAGAACATCTGTAGTACTGAGCAGAAAAGCAACTCAGTGTCTAACATTCTGAAGTATTCAAAGCATTAGAGTAACTGTGTGAAAATACCTGTGCCAAGCTGCAAGGCAGACACAGCCAGCAGAAGCAGAATGAGGAATCTTGTAAGCAGTTATTATATGAAAACCTATGCCTTATTCTTTAGTGACTGCAAAATTATTATTTCTGGCTAATTTTATTAAATTAAATTAAATTAAATTTTAAAGGGAAATTAGGGGGAGTACTGGGAAAAAAAAGAGGTTACTTACCTGTAACCATAGTTCTTTGAGTGGTCCTCTGTGAATTCACACATATGGGTATTGTCTGCGCCTGCGCTGACTCTCTCGGAAGATTCTAGAACTAAAAGTAACAATTTTATGGTGTGATCCTCCACGAGGTATATGCTCCTCCCACCCACCATCTTCCCTAATTCCTGAATTTTATCTGCCAGGTATGAAGGAAAGAATTAACTAATTACATAATTAACCCATGACGGATAGAGGGGAAGGATGGGCGGGTTGTGTGAATTCACAGAGAACCACTCAAAGAACTATGGTTACAGGTAAGTAACCTCTTTTTCTTTTTCATGGCCTCTGTGAATGCACACATATGGGTGACTAGCAAGCTGCACTTACCGGTTGGTGGGTCGTCACGGTAAGAAGGATGACAGGGCAGCTCTGCCAAATGCAGCATCCTGGCGTGCTCTGACGTCCAGCCGGTAGTGTTTGACAAACGTGGACAGTGTGGACCACGTAGCAGCACGACAGATGTCAGGAACCTTGGTGCCACGTTGAAAGGCAATAGAGGTGGACAGTGCCCTGGTTGAATGAGCTGTCAAATCTTCTGGAGGGGATTTTCCCGACAAGTTGTAAGGCAGGGAAATAGTCTGTACAATCCAGCGTGCTATGGATTGAGAGGAGGCTGCGGCCCCCTTGTTTGGGCCATGAAAGCAAAGAAAAAGTTTATTGTAATGTCTGAAGGTTTTTGTCCTTTCAACATAGAAGGCCAGGGCACGTCTGACATCGAGGTTATGAAGCATATGTTCCATCGGTTGGTTGAGGTGGAAGTCGGAGATCACCTTCGGGAGAA